AAATTGCTTGGCCCGGGTTATCCTTCATTCTTTTTTGCTTCCCGCATTTCTCATAATCCCCCAGTGGCCTATATATAGTGTCCGCACTAGGGCAAGTGAAATTGTCACAATATCGCTTGAAGCATGTAACTGACAGTCGCCATACTGTGTTGGGTTACGTGTTATACTTTTTCTATCCATCTATCTATCCCAGTTTGTCCATATCAATCTCAGTCTGTTCATATCTATCCATTTCAATTTGTTTATATCTATCTATCTATCTATCTATGACAGCGTCTATTAAAGTCTGTTCTTATCTGTCTATCTATGACAGTCTCTTAATATCTATCTATCTATCTATCTATCTATCTATCTATCTATCTCGTTCTATTCATATCTATCACAGCCTGTTCATATCTATCTATCTATCTATCTATCTATCTATTTCGTTCTGTTCATATCTATCACAGCCTGTTCATATCTATCTATCTATCTATCTATCTATCTATCTATCTATCTATCTATCTCAGTCACTTTCTTTCTTTTATCTTCCTTTCTATTCACTATAGGACAAATGTTATTAACTCCTTCTAACCTATGAAACCATTTAATCCATTACTGCATGACGTCTAATATATATATATATATATATATATATATATATATATATATCCCTAATGGGCCAGGTTCTGCCTACCTCTGTTTCATCACATGGAATAATCAGTGTGAACTGGCTCCTCATCACCCTGATGATTCCATGTGATGAAATCTAAAATAGGTAGTACCTGGCTCATTTGGATTCATTTATTTTACTTTTGCTCTGTTTAACATATTGAGCACTCTTCGTTTTAACTTATTACTTGCTGTGTTTTTTTTTTTTTTTTTTTTTTTTTTACTTAATATAATATAAAAGGCTCAAACACTAATAGTCCAAGGTTATAATTTCTTACATTGGAATCGTAGATGAGAAAGACGGTCGCCTCGCAAGACTTCATCCAGTCGCGTCGTCCAAATCACCATTCGGGCCGTGGCCAGCAGCGTTAGAAACACCATTCGTGTCGCCGCCGTATTCTGGAGTCAGACAGTTAAATATATGTTTTGGACCGCGCAATGCCGCAACGCTAGTGTTCTTGTTCAAATCGATCAAATGAGAATTTTGTTTAAATTTTGGAAAGTTATAAATCCACTTGATCGATTTGAACAAGAAAAAAAAATTCAGCTTACAGTTGCTGATTGGCGCTCTTTTCTACCTTTTTTTTGAAGAACACTCACTCTTGATAAGAACAATGAAATGAACACTTGCAGAATCAGCCAACTCTACACCGTTATCACCGCAGAGTCCTTAGATGACGAAAACATCGACTTGTCTTCAGTAGATAAGTTTGGTTGCAGACACTATTAAATTTGCAAGGACTTATTTGTAATATTGTTTAATGCAACTTGTATAAATCAGAGGTCAGTCGTGTTTTATTCTTTATTTATTACGACATCTACATTCACCAAGTGGGTATCTTATATGGGGTCCACATCAATTCCCCATACAATTTCCGAAGTATTCTACACCTTTTGTCATTCTTGACTTCCTCATTTGCAACTTGTTTAAAGATCTGGGCTCTGGTCAAAGGTTGTTGTTTTGCTTTATTTTATGCTCTCCTCGAAGAGAAAAAAGTTCTTGAAGCCTTTTCATTTTCTTCTAGTTCCCAACTTCCAACATCCCTCTTTATCTGCTGATAATTTATGCGAAGCTCCTTTAATGGACATTCCCTCACTCAATAACTTTGTCATTCTCCGTTTTTCAGTATTTGTTAGATCTTTTTCATTACCCACGTTTCAACATATATTATGGACAAAAACAAAGATATAGTCTTTATAAGATTTCAGAGGCCTTAGACCAGTGCTTCTCAAACTATCTGAGATAGCGAACCGGCTTTTTTTCTCAATTTCTCACGTACCTGTAATATTTCCTGGTAATATTAATTTATACCGGAAACGATATATATATATATATATATATATATATATATATATGTGTGTGTGTGTGTGTGTGTGTGTGTGTGTGTGTGTGTGTGTGTGTGCAAAAATATATAGAAAATAGGAAAGAACTCGTTAGGTAAATAATCCAAAGTTCTTTAGTATTTTTGTTATTATTTAAAAAAAATAGTGCTCGATACAAAAGTAGAGCATCAATATAATTATTTATTTAAAAATATGATTCCAACGCTACACAAGAGTTCTCATGTTTCAAAACAAGAGCCGAAAACTTCAATATAATTATTTGAATTTAAATTGAATTAAAAGCTCTGTTCTATTTCGACTCTTGACTCGACTTGAACTACTGACTCTTGCCTACTCCTGAGGTGCAGTATTTATTAAGTATGGAATTGTCCATTATTATTACTATGGGTAAGATCCCATGACATATATATATATATATATATATATATATATATATATATATATATATATATATATATATAAATACATGAATTATTCACACAAAACTAATGCAAAGGTTAATGATTTAAATGGCGAGACATCCATCATCGCAAACAATTCAAATAGTATACAAAAACCTCCAGATCCGTTATGAATGAATTGATCCTTGTTCATAAATTTCTGCCGTATTAGTTGTTGTTTTTTACTACAAGCTTTTCGTCTGTTCCTACAGACATCTTCAGGTATAGAATAGATGTTGTTTTTTTTCTCTTAGTAATAAGAGGATGACGAAAATATATGTGTTGTTGTATCCGAAAATGCTATTGAAAAAAAGAGTTATTGGTTTTGGAACGCGCCAAAAGCAACGCTGAGTTTGATTTTAAATTTTAAAGTGTTTGCGTTTATACCAAATATGGTGATGAACAAATTTTTTACTGGTAAATTTTTCTGTCAAAGTGGCATGAACTATATTGTTCAATAATTACAGTAATGTCGCACTTATTATCTAAAAGTCGCACTTGGATCAGTTATTTAAATTACAATAAACGTGCAATCAATCTGGAGGTTTTTGTATACTATTTGAATTGTTTGCGATGATGGATGTCTCGCCATTTAAATCATTAACCTTTGCATTAGTTTTGCGTGAATAATTCATGTATTTTTAAATTGATTGCGTTTATTGTAATATATATATATATATATATATATATATATATATATATATATATATATATATTAATATGTTTTTCACCCCAAGTAAGGAAGGTGCTACTAGTATGCAAGGGGTTACAGGAGTGGGAGCAAAAGTAAAGAAGCGTAAAAGAGGAAAGGATGAAGAGAAGGACAGGGAATAGATCAAGGCATCTGGAGATGTCGATTGACATTACATTTGAATAGATGGAGATTATAGTTATAGATTAAAGCAAGTAAATGGAACGGAGTTTCACAGACGGGAAGTGCGAGACATGAAGATCTTAGAGTAGAAGAGTCGGCTACAGATATCAGTTTCGACGGCGAAATAATAACTTTAGACGGACTGTATATCATTTGACGTATGTTGTAGAAAGAAGAGTTAATTCAAACAATTTTTCTTAAAATGGCCGACAAACACTCTTTAGTTATTATTACATTTTTCTAATTTGTGTCTGGGTTGTTGCAAAACCAGATCAACTTTATGAAGAAACTGCCCAAAGAGCTTTCGACCATCTTTGGTGATTATCAGGAACATTAATGTTATCAATGTAAATTTTTTTATTTGCTTCACCCGAGCATTTTTAGGTAAGTTATATTTGTAATTTACTTTTATTTCTACCATTTTCAGGAATTAAACACAAAGACACTACTAAACAGACACAAAAAATGCTCACTAGAATTACACGCTATACTCATATAGTGATTTTCCAAGCGGAGCTTAGATGTGGCACAAGGCTGAGAATATGGGGCACCCAGTAAGGATCGAACACGCTATACTCATTTACTCACACGCTAACAAAACAAAACAAAAACATTTGAGATCGATTTGAATAATTAAAAACAAACAGCACAAAACACAAAATACGGTAACTTTCTCGTTCATAATTCATTTCCAAAAAAATTATGATGAAGCTTAGATACAAACGAAATATGTTCAATTTATAAACGTCTTCTATTTGTTTTTTATCCTATCTTTCTAATTTAAATACAAATGGCGTCAGGTATAGGACAGATTTAAAAAAAAAAAAAATCCGTCAGGAGTAACAATTTAAAAAAAAAAATCATTTCACCCCAAGCAAGGCAATAAAAGAATTAGGACGTTAAGGGGTTACTGAGTGTGAAAGAATATGAGAAAAATTAATCATTATTAAAAAGAGGGGGCAATAAAGAATAGAAATTAAGAAGACAGAAGATAAAGATTGATATTGCAGTTAGGTTTTTGATAGGGAAGCAAGAAGCCGAAAGAGAGTTCCACAAGCGAGAAGTGCGAGAGAGGAAACTGTTAGCATAGAACTTACGGTTACTTCTCTAGCCATTTCAATTGTAAAATGGGGAGACCTAGCCGCCAATCTAGTACTGCGCTTAAATTCGTAAATTCTAGATACCAAGGAGGAAAGTTAATCAGAACAATCAAAAAAATTATGACGAAGCATAGACACTAGCGAAACATGTTCAATTTATAAACGTCCCCTATAGTTATTGAGGTTGATGTGATTTGCATAATAACTTCAGACGGACGGAACGGTGCCGGAAGTATTTGCGTACGCCTCGTAGATGCTTGCGTGCTAATTGCCATTTGAGTCTAATTTTGACCATGTGATATCCTTAAACAAAGACATAGTATGCAACTGAATTGAAACACTGTCGTCCTGATTCCAGACACATTTAGATCCCTTGCCCCATTGCAATAATTCATCAAACGGGTTCAGCACAATAAGTCGCTTTGTGCGCGGATAATGACACGAAACAATAAATAAATATAAAAAAAAGGTAAACGTTGAACAAATAATAAAGGCAATCTGTTAAATTCTAAGCTTCTGTTCATGTTTTCTATTTTTCGTTGGAAGTAAGATATTTGTTATTATAATTGTTAGTATTATTAGAGGGATTGTATGTTGGTAAGAAATTGTTGGCATTCCTTGGGGATCGAGTGGCAGCAAGGCTCTTCAGAAGATCACTACTCTATACGATTTACTATATTTGACAGGACATAGTTTATCTCTCTCTTTCTCTCTATCTCTCTCTATCTATCACAGACTGCTCATATCTATCTTCTGTTTCTAACTATCTATCTATCTATCTATCTATCACAGACTGTTTATATATATATATATATATATATATATAGTTATTTTCCAAACAGTTAGCTTAGATGTGGTTCTTATAGATATTTTAAAAAATGGGGATCAATGTGAGTATCGAACTACTTTTAATTGATATAAATATATATATATATATATATATATATTCCAACCATTTTTTTCTCGAATTTATGTCAATTAAATTCAGTAGTTCATTTCATCTATCTATTTATCTATCTATCTCTTCATATTTTCTGTCTATCTATCACTGTCTCTATCTATATATATATATCTATATATATATATATATATCTATCTATCTATCACAGACTGTTTTAGTGAGGGACACACACACACATATATATATATATATGTCCTCTTTCTTTCTTTCTTTCTATGTCTATCTTCAGATATCTATCTATCTATCTATCTATCTATCTATCTATCTATCTATCTATCAATCACAGACTGTTTATATATATATGTATCTATCTATCTATCTATCACATATATATATATATATATATATCCTCTTTCTTTCTCTCTTTCTATGTTTCTTCAGATCTATCTATCTATCTATCTATCTATCTATCTATCTATATTCAGATGCAGTGCGGTTCAAAAGTAATTTAAACCCTAAGATAACATTTAATATAATTGTCTCTCTTTTCCAGATAATCAACAAATCTTAATTATGCTATATATTCACTAAGAAAAACTAAATAAATTGCAACAACCTTCAAAGATTTTTATTAAGCTCGAATAAAAATATTAATTTAAAATTGAAAATTCATATTTGTAAAAGTCAATGAACGCTCTGCATTTTTGTTTACATGGTTGCCAGTGCACATGTAAAAATCAAAATGACCAGTGTTCATTCTTTTGGTAAGTTGGTTATCAAACAATATAACTCATTGTGTATATACATATATATATATATATATATATATATATATATATATATATATATATATATATATATATATGCAAAGATATATATGCAAAGATCAAAAGAACTTTCTGAAGCTTTAAAAATCGTATAGTTGAAACCTACAATGATGGAAAAGACTACAAATAGCTATCAAAACGATTTGGAGTACACTTATTCACCGAGAAACAAATTACTTATAAATAGAAGGTCTTTGTTAGGACGGCATCACAGTTAAGAATGGCTATCCACGAAAAATAACAGCAGGAGCATGTAGACATCGAGTTTGGCAAGCCCAGGCAAAAGCTGTTGTTATATTTACAGTTCTTCAATGCCCACTGGCCAATATCGGAATCGATATGTTTACATTGCGACAAAATCTGAAGAATACCGATCTTCATAGAAGAATGCCTAGAAAATGGCACTGTTTACGAAATACCTCAAGGATCCTCGCCTCGACTTTGCCAAAGTGTTATGGTCCGGTTCCTTGTACCACGGTGATAGTCCAAGGTAGAACCAATAAAGAAGAACTCGAACACAGGTAAGGAATAACACAGATATATTACAAGCAGAAATATACAGTGTAACCCGGATATAAGAGAGTTGTCTGGACCGGAGAAGAAGTCTCTTATATCTGGGTTTCTCTTATATCCGGGTTTGGTCTATTATATATACATTAACACAAGCTCTAATTTGGGACCAGATGAAATATCTATATCCGTGTCTCTTATATCCGGGTTACACTGTATACAGAGAAGTAGAAGTGTTAGTATGAATAATCAGGTTTAGTAGAGAGAACAATGTAGTCTCGACCAGTATCACTATTCCAATGTCTTTCCGTAATTGTCTGAACGCGACTCTGTTTCGGACTGCCTCTGACTCGACTCTTGACTCGGCTTGAACTACTGACTCGGCTTGAACTACTGACTCCCCTTGCCTACCCCTGAGGCGCAGTATTTATTAAGTATGGAATAGTCCATTACTATTATTATGGGTAAGATCCCATAACACAAAGCTTATATTATTAAGCTAGAAACACTCTGGCAAAAGGTTTTATAGTTGGATGAGACCAAACTAAAGCTTTTTGGGAGAAGCAAAAGTGGGTATATCTTGCGTGCTCTTAATACGGCTTTTGAAAAGGAGAATTTGCTACCAACCATTAAACATGGCAGTAATAGCATCATAATTTGGAGGTGCTTTGCTGCAGACAGAACAGGCAAAATAGTGGGCATTGGTGGCACTGATACCAAGCAATTTTCAAGGAAAGTTTCTTATCCTCAATTCAAGCATTGGTTTTTATGTCAGACTGGAACTTCCAACAGGACAATGATCTGAAGCGTCAAAGCAAATTCCTATAAGAAAGGCTTCATAAAAAGACATTTCAAGTCTTGGAGAGTCCTAGTCAAAGTTCTCATCTAAATCCAATTGAAAATCTGTGATTCAAGTGAAAGAGTGCAATGCATGCAAGAAACTCAGGTAAAATCAAGCAATTGTTTGAGTTTTGCCAAGAAGAATAGTCAGAAATTGTCACTCACTGCTGCCAGAAAATTCTTCAAAATTATAGAAAAAGGACTGGTCGACATTGTAATTTCAACATGAACATTCCCCAAATCTTAAATATAAGGGTTCACGAAATTTTGCACTTCTTAATTTTGAATTTTGAATGACTATTTTTATTCCAGCGTGATAAAAATCTTTGAAAGTAGTTGCAATTGATTTAATAAAGGATTTTCTTCGTGAATACATACTTTAATAAATATTTGTTAATCATCCGGAAAGAAAGAGACAATTTTTAAAAATATTATCTTAGGGGTTCACTTCCATTTCCACAGCACTATCTATCTATCTATCTATCTATCTATCTATGTTTGTCTGTCTCTCTCTCACTCTCCCTTTCTCTCTCTCTCTCTCTCTCTATATATATATATATATATATATATATATATATATATATATATATTAGATTTCCCCTAACAAATGCGGAATGAAGAAAACGAAAATGGTGACAAATAAAGAAGGAAGAAGGAATGAAAGAAGAGAGTATTCTTCTTGCTTTCTTTTTCTTTCTTTCTTTCTTTCTTTCCTTCCTTCTTTCTTTCTTTCTTTCTGCCTGTCTGTCTCTGTCTCTTCAGATCTAAGTAGGTATGTATGTATGTATTTATCTAAGTCTCTTCAGATTTATATGTCTCCCGCTGCGTTCCTGTTCACTCTCTCACCCCTATATATATATATATATATATATATATATATATATATATATATATATATACGGAATGAAGAATCATTTTCCCGGTCGTTTCAATCGGAATAGAGGTTTATATGTCTTCGTTGATGCTTTTTAAGTGTGACATTAGCTGCTATCTTTCCGTTATAGCTCCCAAGAAATTCACTTCTTGACCTTTCTTAGGCTAATACACCACATACCAACCTTGTACATTGAATGGCTCTCGGGCCTTGTGCTGTATGAGAATTAATCTATATACATACACCGCCCCCCCATATATATATATATATATATATATATATATATATGTATGTACAAAGGTAGTAAAGGAAAGCGAGAAGAAAAACTTAATCAATTAAATAGAAAAACAAGAGGAGAGCTACAAATCAAACTAGTACAGAATTGATTTAAATGTGACACCAAAATCCGAAGCTAAAAATGTATTAAGAAACAGGACAATTTAATTAGAAACCCTCCCAAAAGCAGTACAGAAATGTTACGAAACATGTAGCACTGAATGCTGGGAAATCTACACACAGATGAAGAAGAGACTTGAAGGAAGAGAAACAAGGAAAAGACTACTGAACTGTTACATAATATATGTCGATTTATATGGAACTGGATGCAGGGCAATCTCCTCACAGATGAAGAAGAGACTTGAAGCAAGAGAAACAAAGAAAAGAGTACTGAACTGTTATGTAATATCGGTCCTTCTATATGGCAGTGAATGATGGACAATCTCCTCACAGATGAAGAAGAGACATGAAGCAAGAGAAACAAAGAAAAGAGTACTGAACTGTTATGTAACATCAGTCCTCCTATATTGCAGTGAATGATGGACAATCTCTTCACAGACAAAGAAGAGACTCGAGGCAACAGAAACAAAGGAAAGTGTACCGCAAACGTTTTTGATTGTAATGTGGATTTTTTAATAAAAATATGTTATGCTTTATTTTCCATAATTCTGTAACACGTGTTTCAGGCAAAGAGAAGATATTTTTGCATATTATTAAAATGAATTAATTTTCTTATGTTTTTCGATGTTAAACAGTCTCTTTTTTGTGTGGTAGTGCAAGCCAGAGGAAAATGAATATTTACTAAACCTAGAACAGACAACATGGAGTACATTACTGCATTTCCCTGAATAAGTGTCCTCCATAATATTAGGGAAATTTAAAATATATACTTGAAGCAACAGAGATGTGGTTCTACAGAAGGATACTGACGATAATGTGGACCGAAGATGTGAGTAACGACAAAGTTTTGGAGAAAATGAAAACAAAACGGAAACGAATAGCTAACACCAGAAAGAGAGAGTTGAGGCTTCTGGGGCGCTTAATGAGGAAGGAAGGCTTGGAAAATCTAATACTCACAGGACAGATGGTGGGTAAGGCGGATAGAGGAAGACAACGCGTAACATGTTTAATAAGCTTGGATAAATGGATGACGGTATAGGAGAAATAACAGAAAAACAAAGTTTAATAATTAAGGGATAGGAAGTTGTGGAGAGACATGACCGCCTACGTGCCGAAGGGACACGGCACATAAAGAAGGTCTAAGGAAGAAATATCGTATTCATCAGTTTCGATATTATCCTCAGTGCTGAGCAGTGTCCCCGGAATCTTTGAAAATTTCCCACCTCGGATAAGGACGAACTATTTTCTATGTGGTTGGTATATTGAACCCTAGTTCTTGTAGCCAGTGGACCAGCACAGATACACTGAGCTACGACAAAACATCTTACTAACTAGCATCGTTTGAAGTCAGTCGAGTCCCGGCGGTAATTTCTTACCACAAGCACGCACACGTCAAACGCCCGAGTAACGGACAAGGTGAAGAGGTGCGCGGCATTAAAGTCTTGACCACTCGGAAGGTGGAAACGTTGTCACGGCCCTGGAAATGACCAAAGACGTTAAGGAGTCGAAAGCAGAGGAAAGAACCCGGTCATGCCACGCGGGGTAACCTGAAATTGTCACGCGGTATATTACCCTGGAGAGGCGGAGTGCAACGCACCGACGCGACGTCCGCGTGCGCTAATTGGTTTATCGATCCTTGCACTGGCTATATTAATGATTGATGCTAATATAACTTTTCGTTAAGGGCACCCGGATGACTGATGAAAATTCACAACTGTCAGGATCTGTAGCATGTCGTTCTGCCGTTTTTTTCCCTTGGAGACCTTGTAAACATAAGTGACTCTTGGGGGTCTACTAGTAAACTCGCCGTAGTCAAAACGGACATGGTCAGAATAATTATCTTTCCTTTGAGGTGACACTAGCAGGTTGAAAGAAGACTATCGGCGAAAATATGCGAACGTGCTTTAATGAATAAACCATTCTGACCTTCTAAGCTGAAAGGAATTTGACCCCTTGACCAATATAATGGACGGTTAATAATTAGACGGTTAGATTTCTAAATGCCAAATAGCACTAACCACAGTTTAGTTGTAGGTATTTTACCCTTGTCTCCATACTGGGATGTGACAAAAGCTCGGGTTTAATGTGAGGAACCCGAGCACATACACCCGGGCCAAGCAAAAAAATTATCCAGTCCTCCCCAATCGTCGCTTGCGCTGGCCTTGTTAGGGACTACCAATTACCACTCTAGTGAAGCGTTTCTCAACCGAGGTTCCCCGGAACCCTAAGGTTCCGCAAAAGGTCCCCATGGGTTCCGCGAGAACAGGTGAGATAAGCTAAAACAAGTATCAAGAGCAAAGACAGAAATCCGCGTGTGTTTATCTAAAGTTCGACCGCAAATTATTTCTGTGGCAAGACAGGCACAGGCTTCACATTAGAGAAGCATATTTCACTTTCTCAAGTCCAGTAGCTGTTAGCGATCGTTCGAGTATTAATTGGGGGTTTACTTCCTAATATTTTGATGTAGTATGGAACTTCAGCATCTTGAGTACGTCATTATATTTTTTATCTGTTTCTTTTGGCAGCGCTGACAAAGTTAACCGAGCTATTATTCTTGAAAAGGAACCCCAATCAGTGGTTGACTGGGGCAGGAAATGGCTTGTAAATTTTAATGTTTCAAAAACTAAACTGTTCTCATTTAACCACCATAGAGAAATGTCCCTGCCTCCCATCAACATGGTTGATGCTCGTCTCCGGGAGAGTGTCTTACTGTGTCTTCTTGGCTTGACATTTTCAACTAACTTGAATCAATAGCTGCATCTACTGCTAGGAAAGTTGTGTCGTGCCAGAAGCTATCTCTCGTCAGAGTTCATCTCACACATCTACAAATCTACCATTCAGCCTTGCATTGAATACTGTTGCCCTATCTGGTCTGGTGCCCCTGCCATTCATCTCGAGGTTCTCAACAAAATCCAAAAAAGGATCTGTAATTAAATCGGTCCTGAATTGGCTTCTCGACTTCAGGCACTTCCTCACAGACGTGATGTGGCTTCCCTCTGTCTTTTCTACAAACATTTTCATGGTTACTGTTCTGACAAGCTTTTTTCCGACGACATGAATTTAATCATACTACTAGATTGGCATCTAGGTCCCACCCTTTTACTGTTGAAATAGTTAAAAGATGCAAGTACATATTACTCGAATATTAATGATGATGGTCGACAATGATTAATCTAACAAAAAATGAAGATGAAAGAACAAACTAGTCGGAAATCGATTCTGACCAAGCATATCAACTTCACTCACTTTCTCACCGACGAGACGTAGCTTCCCACTATCTTTTCTATAAATATTTTTATGGCAACTTCTTTGACGAACTATTTACCCTGGTGTCACCATTGTCATCTAGGTCCCACCCGTTTAATATTGAAATAGCTAAATGCAAACGCCACTTCTACTCCAGCTAGCACTTTTCTCGGACTTCCCACCTGTGGGACTCCTTTCCGTTTACTTATTTCCCTGATAACTACTATCTTCTAAAAATTGAATACAACGTCAATCGTCATCTTCTGTCTTCTTAAATCCGGTTCATCATTTGTCGTTTTCTCAATTCTCGCTATGCCCAGTATTTTCTCTCACTTTCACTCCAGTAACCCCCTGCATACTAGTAGTATTCCTGACTTTCTTTTTAAAAAAAATAATTGTTGCCAACGCTTTTTCTAACAAAAAATAAAGACGCAAGTACATACAAGTCGAAAATTAAATATTATTGTCGACAATGTTTAATCAAATGAAAATGAAGACGCAAGTACATACTAGTCGAACATTAATAATTATTGTCAACAATGTTTAATCTAATAAAAATGAAGATGCAAGTACATACTAGTCGAAAATTAATAATTATTGTCGACAATGCTTAATCAAATAAAAAATGAAGACGCAAGTACATACTAGTCGAAAATTAATAATTATGGTATACAATGTTTAATCTAATAAAAATGAAGAAGCAAGTACATACTAGTCGAAAATTAATAATGAGGTTAAATGATTAAAAAAAAAAAGAAGTATATTTTTTGGTTTTTCTTGAAACTTTCTTGTTGTCCACAAGCTCCCTCTATAGCAGCCATAGGCAAAGTGTGGCCCGCGGGAAACATATGACCCGTTTGGCCTTTCTGAACGGCACGCCGAATTCCATGTGGAAAATAAGGTTTATTAAAAATTTTTTTTATTTTGTTACGTCCTCACTTGTTCACTCACATTTTCTTATTCATAAACATACATAAACAATAATTAAGCATAACGTTTCTTGAATTTTGTAACTTTTCGTTGAAGGTAACGTTTTCATCATTATAAACGATTAGCGATTTTCTTTAAAGAAGACCCTGCGTGAAAATATCATTTACTTTAGAAACAGGACCTTCATAATAATTTTTTGTCGTGAGAAGAAATTTATTTTCTGGACAAGAAACATATTTTTTTTATCTAGAGAAGAAATATATATTTTTTTAAATTTAAAAATTACTTTTTGTATTTTCAAATGAATAAATAAGAAACAAAT